GCGCATGCCCAGCTCCCCAGAAGTCCGAGCCGTGGGTGGTAGGGCCCCGCCTCGGGTGAGCGAGCCCAGCACACCCCCCGGCCGCGCTGATGTGCCTCCGTCTCTCCGAGGCCTCGCTCGGGTGCAGTCGCGCCTGGCGCTCAGGTCCCGGGAGTCCCGCTCCTTACGCCGGTGACCGCAGGGCCCCCAGGAGGGAGGGGCTTACATGCCATGGGGCGGGGCCTAACGTGACCCGCGGGGCTTGATTGGTCAGGATCGGCCAGGGGTCTCTGCGTGGCTGTCATCACTGGCCTGACGCCTCGTCTGTCAACCCCGCTGCGCCCCGACCCTCTGGTCCGCTCCAAGTCCCGGGACTCGACCCTGCGCGCGGGAGCGACCAGCTCAACTACGCTGAAAACGCTCTTTTATCTTATGGACAGGGGCCCAGGACAAATTTCAAAATTGGTCGTGTTTCTCTCTTTGCCTTGGCTGCTGGGGAGCGCGCAAGCCCCAGCCTACCTGGAGCAAGTGAGCGGGGGACTTGCTGAAAATGCAATGTGCACGTCATCAGTCTTACAAGATTCTGGTATAGATGAAATGTGTCAGCCTGAAAAATCCACTCTATCTAAAGCACATTAATGTTATCATTTATTATATTGTTTGTCTACTGTCTCTAAAAATGCAGTGGAGGCAAGGGGCAAGGCAGAAATCGGGAAGTTCAGAAACTGCTGGGCCACTGTCCGGTCCTCTCAGCTCAGCCTCTCCAAGCTTTGGACTCTTTCTGCCCTGGGGCCCCTATTGACACTGCTCGAACCTATCACACTGCCCTCTAGTGATGTCCTCCACCATACCCCATGACAGGATCACTGGACCTCAAGTTCTCTCTGTCCAAAGTGTGCCCAGCCAAGAGCCAGATGTGGGGGGCAAAGAGGAAAAGGATCCACCCAGTATACACACTGCGGGTGCAGCACCCCCTACTTCTGCCCTCCTTGCCACACCCCTGCCTTGGGTTAGTTCTCCAAATTACCACCCAGCCCTTCAGCGCCTGGCAAGGATTCTTAAGATGACCCCTACATATGGCTTGCCCACTTCCCAGGAAATGAAAGTTCAGGAGATCCACATGCTGGGAGCCCACGCAGACCCACCCTGAAACCAGCTCTAGCTGCCTCCCCTGGGGATCCCATGCCTCAGACAGATTTGGCCACTTCCTCCTTCACCCTCCCTCTGCAGTGTCCACACCCACCTCCCTCCACCTCATGCCCTGCAGCTCTGAGCATACCCGTGGGTGGTTCCTAATGAGCAGGATGCCCTTTGTGACCTCCCTCCTGCTACCTACCCCTCTAAAGTCACTCAATTCTGTTCCTCACACAGCCAGCCCTCCTTTCTGTCTCCTGGCCACTGCCAAGGTCATCCTGGGGCCACCTTGTCACCATATGCCCACACCCTATCCAATATCCAGAACTCACTGCAAAGGCTGCCTCCTCTAACATCCACAGACACCCAGCACCTGCCCATACTCTTCCCCAGCCCCCTTGGGATGTTAGTCTAAAAGCTTGGGGTAGGTGGTACCCAGGGCAGGGCAGGAGGCCAGGGCCATGCCCAGGAAGTCATCTCCACGCCCAGAGTATGGGCCTGACTTCCAAGAAAATTAAATAGCTAGCGCTCCAACTCCCACACTTCCCCAAACAGTCTGACCTGGGCTGACTCAGACATACCCTCCCAAGTCCCTATATCCAGTGGGAAGCCACAGGTCAACAGCCAGAGGAGCCTAGGGTCCCTCCCCAAGGCCAGGGTCCACTGCTCTGAGGATAGTTCCCATCTCCCCTCCCATGGCCCCATTTCTCAGGGAGGAAAGTGAGGAAGGGGAGCAGTGTCACAGAGCAGGATGGACTCAGCCCAACTGGCAGTCCTGCAAAACCTCATCTCCCACACCTCGCACTGTCACACTTCCCCCTCCACATCTGTGCTGGTTTGCTCCATTGAAATGCTCTCCTCGCTTTCTCACCCTCAGCGTCAGTAGGTGCCCTCACGACTTTTGCTCCCTGAGGGCCATCCCAAAGTAAGCCAGCTGTCCTGGCCCGGGAGTGGAAAGTGTGCTAGACATAGTGTACACTCGTGTGTGAACATGTCCTGCTCAGTCTCTCCACTGTGATCCTGCCTCACCTGGCCCAGGTTGCCTCCCGTGGTCCCCTCTACACTGTCCACTGGACCTCCTCCCAGTGTCCCAGGCTACAAGTTGTGGGGTAGCCTCAATCCTCGATTCTCAAATTCTTCCATTCTATATCTGCTGGCCAGCCCTGGCGTAACCACCAAACCACCCTTTGCAGCATAAAGGCCCAGGGACCTCAGTGAATACCACATAGACCCACACGTCAATGCATGAGAGCATATGTGTGCACACAGCTACAAGTGCACACACGCTAACAAGCCCTGCACCCAGGCCTGCGCAGAGACGTGCAGGCTGCAGTGGGCCTGCTGCTCTCTGCCACCTCCCTTCACCTTTATTCCTCTCCTCCTCTCCCCTCTGCTGCCACTGGGAGGCTTGAGGAGTTCCCAGGAGTTCCAGCTTCCACTGGCCAAGGATCATGCCGTGTGTCTCCCTGGGCCTAGAGCTCACAGAGGGTGTGAGGTTCCAACTTGGAGGCAAGGAGCAATGTGACCAAGTAGCCTAGGAACCCTGATCTGCACTTGCTGACTCCAACCTGGCACAGGGCACACAGTAAGTACTCAAAGTGACTTATGAGCAGAAAGGACTCAGGTTCATTACCAGAACAGAGCACAAAATAGGTGCTTGGTGCAGCTCAGGATGGGCACAAGGCCCACAGCAGGTGCCCTAGAAATGCTGGTTCAAGTGCTAAAGCCAAATCATATGAAAAATTCCCAAATGAGCCTCTGGACCTCCCCAAACTGGTGTTACCTCTGACGGGGGACCTGAACCAATGTGACCCCTTGGAGGCCAGCAAAGGGCCCAGGGGGAGGGCCTTGAGCAGCTCCAGCTGGCTGTCCCTCCCCCTGGGCTGGAGAAAGAAGCTATTTATAGTTCCCCCTAGGCCCAGCTCCCTCTCCCCTGGTAGGTTTCAGTGTTCCTGAACCACTCTTCCAGACCACTGACAGGCTGGTGCCCCTCAGAGCACCCCTATACCTGCATACCTGCAGAGACCCCTAACAACCTCATACACCTTCCAGCACCACCCTCACTGCTCCCAGGTCATTTCCTAATCCCCCACCCTCTCCATGCCACCTGTGCCTACCCGGCCTGCTGCTCCTTGAGCCGGGGTTCGTCAGGAAGCTGCCACCTTCCGTGCCTCTGTCCATCCTGCAACCCAACTGGCCTGGGCTACCGCCCCCTGCAGCATGGAGTCCAGCAACCCCGCCCTCTGGCTCTGGAGAGTGGAGCCTGCCCCGTGGCCCCGCCCCTCCGGCACGGCCCTGGGCCCGCCCCCCACGGCTGCTTTCAACCGAGATCACCAGTGCCCCCACTCCAGGCAGCCACGCTCTCGCCAGTACTGCCTCTTTCCAGCCAGAGCTGTCCACACTGCCTAGTTCTGCCCTCGTCTGCAGCTGGAGTTGTCTACACAGCCCACAGTGCCTGCCCCATCCTCCACTGAGCGCCTCCTGCATGCCAGAGCCTTCATGTACACTTGTCACTCAGTTTTCACAAGACACTTGGTGGCATCACTGTTTTACAGATGAGGAAACAGGCTCAGAAATGTGAGCACACTTGCTCAGGACAATTGGATGAGGGAGGGCAGAGTTGAGCCAGAGCCCTGGCGGCCTGAGGCTCCTGTCCCTGAGCCATGTGCATGTCCAAGGCCCGAGGCAAGGCTGGGCTGCGGGGGTGAAGGTAGGACAGTGCCTGGCTGTGTGTTGTGCAAGCTTCATGCAAGTTTGGGGAACACACACCTGTTCCTCTAAGCCCCGTCACATGCCCTCCCCTTCCTCACACGCACTCGCAGCTGTCAGACATCAGTGGTGACAGGGGCAGGGCTGGCCTGTGGGTCTGGTCTTAGGGAGACTGGTCTCAGATGCAGTGGTGGGCTCCTGTGTTGAGCTTCCTGAAAGTGGTGTGAGAGTGACCACGTGGGGTGATGTCCAGATGCTCTGTGACCATGGGGTACCCACACATAGCAAGCCTCCATGTGGCAGTGACCTTCCACCATAGTGCCCAAGCTGTCCAGACATATCATTAGTCTGTGGGGCTCCCAGGTGTGGCAAGACTCCACTTGGCAGCTACCGGATGTGGCATTGTGACTCTGTGAGGTGCTCAGATGTGATATGACACTACATGGTAGTGACCCCATATGGTGGTGTCCAGATGTCCCATGCCCAGCAGTAGTCCGGTCCAGCTCTGCCGCTGCCCTCCAGGTCTCCCCATCCAAGTGGCGCTCCCCCTCAGGCTCAGCGGCGGCCAACATGGGCCAGGATGCGAGCGTTGGCGGCAGCCTGCTCCCTCACAGCTCTGGCCCGGGCCTGCTCCAGTAGGATCTGCTGGAGGCCAAGGGGGACGTCCAGCGAGAGGGTAATGCGTGGGCCACGGCGGAGGCCAGGGCTGGGCCGGCTCCAAGCAGCGGAGGGGCCTGTGGTGCCGGCTGAGGGGCTCTTTGAGGCCACAGGGCGAGGCAGGGCCTGGGGAAGGTTCTGAGGGAGGAGCCGGAAGGCTGGCACAGGGGTCGCTGAGACAAGTGGGACCCTGCCCAAAGTCAGGACCATCAGCACCAGAAGAGCCCACTTGGTCATCACGTAGTCAGGCTGCGAGGAGAAAACCGGCTCAGCGCAGAAGCTGAGGTCAGCTGGGGTTCAGGGACAGAGACAGAGGGGGAAAGAGAGAGGGGGGGGACCAAGGGACTGAGAGAAAGAGACTGAGATGTAAAGGTTAGAGAGGCCAGGCCAGGGACAGAGAGAGACAGAGACGCAGATGAAGGGACAGGAGAGAGCCAGAGCAAGACAGAGAAGGGGCCAGAGGGACAGAAGTTTGAGCAAGAGCACTAGCAAGACAGAGACTGATAAAGAGACAGAGATCCAGAGACAAGGAGTGTCCAAGGCTATATACTTATATAGAGGGACAGGGAAGCGGAGATGAGAGGGGTAAGAAGAAAGACAGGGGTGGGGGAGCGGAGGCAGAGCAGCACGGAGGGAGCCTGGAAGAGAGAGAGAGAACCCAGGCCGGGGACAGACACTGATGGAAGTAAGGCTTCAGAGACAGAGAAGCGCAGGGACAAAGAGGAGCCTGAGGTCGAAGGGACAGCTCTCGCAGCAGGTCCAGGACAGAGGGGCAGGAATGGGAGTCCTTAAGGAGGAGAGCAGCCAGGCACCCCAGGTCCCCTCAGGTCCAGAGACCTCCACTCACCCAAACCCCAGATCCACTCAACCCCCAAGGCCCTGCTCATCCCACCCCAACCCCAGTCCTACCAGAAGCAGCAGCCTCCTCTGGGGCAAGTCAGGGCCACTGAAGCTGCCCAGGGTTGGGGCCAGGCGTGCTGTGCTGTGCTCTGACCTCACCCTCTGCCCCCTTCAGGGCCCATTTATCTCTCTCAGCCCCCTGGGGTGGGAGCTGGGTATGTCTCCTGGCATGAGGCAGCCCCCCACCTATGACTCATCCCCTCCTTGGGGGCCCTGAGGACATATCCTCAGCCCCTACCCTGTCTACTCCTTTCTGGGGACAAGTTGGGGACTGAGGGTCACAGGACAGTGACCAGGGCTGGACAGAGAAACTGCATCCATGCATCATAGTACTGACCCCCCAGGGAAAACCTGCCTCCTAACACCCCCATCTCCCAAGCAGTCACAACAGGGGCCTTTCAAAACAGCAGCTTTAATGCCCCCCAGAATCAGCACCATGTCATCACAGGCTTGGGGTAAGGGGCGGGTCAGATGTAGTCACATCCGCTCACTGCCCACAGCCACCCCCACACTGAGTCATCTTCCAGGGAGGCAGTGTCACAATGGGGGTTTGTCCACAGGGGGGAAGGCTAGACCCATGGGACCAAGTCACTGAAATAACGGACAGACTCATGCATACTCATGTGCGCACGAGCCTCTAGCACCAAAGAAAGTGACAGCAGGGTCCTGCTGAGACACCGACTTCTCCAGGGTCATTGAACTTCAGCTCATGGTCTTGGCCTCAGCTCTGAGCGCACCTGGGGGGCAAGTTGGAAGCCATCTTCAGCCACCTGACCTTACCCAACACAGGGGCCACAGAGCAGCATTGGGCAAAGGGTCCGGTGCGGGAGGGAGCCGGGGGCAGCAGCGGTGGGGGCTCTGACCTCTGTCCTTATCAGCTCTTTCAAGGAAAGAGCACCGAGGGGACTATACTGGGGACTCCACAGCTCGGTGCTCTACTTAGTGATTTGGTCTGGGGTCTGTCCCAAGTCCCCCAGTCCGAGGGACCTTCTGACTCGGGACCTTGGCCCAGGACCTATCTGGATGGGCTCAGTGCCCAGGCCCCTACTGGGGCGGGGGGTAGGTTCATACCTGTTCCCTGGCTCTGGACCACTCGGGGCAGGCAGCGCTGCTCACAGGCCTCACGGGTCCCAAAACGGTTGGCATTCCCTCCGCAGCCACCATAGACAAAGGGGTGACAGGCGTCTGTACCGCCTGCCACAGCCCGATGGTACCAGCGCAGGGTGTAGGCAGTACAGGAGCCCTCGTCCAGCGGAAGCGAGCAGGGGTCTGGGGACAATGGGGGGTCGGGAGGTCACCAGGGATGGTGGCAGTCAGAGAGGGACGGGGGTCAAGGAGAGGTCAGCAGGCACCAGCTTTGCCTGCCCTCCCTGAAGCCTCTGAGCCCAGCCACCATTCTCACCGCCGTGGCCATCCCAGGGAGCATCGGGGTCCTGGTAGTCCTCCACAGAGTACTCGTATTCAAACTCGTCGTCCTCGGGGGGCACTCGGTCTGCCACAGGGTGGGGTGTGCTGTGAGGGGGCTGCTGCTGGGCCAGCTTCATGCTGCCCAACCCCAGCCCACGGTCTCCCATGCATGTGCTCCCATGCATGGGTGCAGCTGTCCTCACCTTCCTCCTCTGCGTGGGAGACCCGGAGCACGGGCACCGGGCGGCGCTGGTGGCTGGTGTCTGCAGCGTAGCTAGGGACGGGGTCTGGAGCAAGAGGCAGGAGGAAAGGGTCCTGGGGCCCTCATGGCGGCCACCCCAGCCCAGCCCCTGCTGACAGGACCAAGTGATGGGCACAGTAGGGCCTGGGGTGAGGGGAATTCCAGAGCAGAAAATACCAGAAAACTACTCACATGATCCAGATGCGATGAACTGGCCCTGGCAGGCTGCAGCGGGCAGAGGGGGCAACAGGAGAGAACATGAAAGAGAAAGCAAAAGACAACACGGAAAGAGGCAGGGAGAGTGACACACAGGAGGCGAGATATACAGGGAGGGACAGAGGAAGAGAGAGAAATAGAGGGAGAGAGGAAGAAAGGCAGAGGAGAAATAGAAAGGACAGAGAAGTTGGGAACAGGAGGGCCAAGGGCAAGCGAGAGGAGGGACAGTGCCGGTCAGAAACAGGCAGACATGGGACAGATGGAAGCAGTCGCAGGCAGAGAGACAGGAGGGGACAGAGTTTCACTGTCTGATGCCCCTCGGGGCCATCTGAGGCCCCCTGGCCTGCCCCATGTCAGGCCCAGAGGGGCCAGCTCTGCTCCCACCTCCACCCCTCCACACAAGGCCATACTGGGTGTCCAAGGCCGCACATCCATCCACTTCTGCCTGTGTGTCTCCACTGGGGAAGTCTGCCCTGAAGCATGTGCGTCCATCCTTCCGTGTATCCATCCTTACCCACCCATCTCGACTCCTTGCCCTCCGCACATTCTAGGGACCCTGCCTGACCCTGTCCAGGGGTGCTGGGTGGGGCCCCACTCACCGCAGTGCTGACTCATCTCCTGACGCACAAAGCCCCGAATGTCATCTTCCTGGGAGCACCAGACCACAAGGATCACAAAGAACCCATGAGTCCCGGGGAGGACAAAGGGTATGTGATGCAGGGATCACGGAGGGACAGCACCAAGTCAGGGGCCTGGGGCCAGGGGGTCAGG